CTCTTTCAGGATGGTATTACAATACCAATCCAATCAGCTGGCTCAAACCATACCACTGTGGCCCCTGACACTAATCTGTGTCATGTTTTTCACTTTCCAAACCATTTGCTATCTGACAATGGTATACTTTTTAACACAAAAGTCACAAAAAATGGGTTGTTTGTCAAAGTATGTGATGGCCTTCCACACTCCCTACCATCCACAGGCATCTTGTATTGGTGAGTGCTGAAACAGCATCCTCAAAAATCAACTTAAAAAACTCAAAAACAAAAGACAACTGGATTCAAAAATGGTCAAAGGACTTTAATAGACATTTCTCCAAAGAAGATATACAAATGGCCAATAAGTACATGAAATGGTGTTCAACATCACTAATCATTAGGGAAATGCAAATCAAAACCACATGACACCAATATGTATAAAACAGATAACTGAGGAGGAGAAGATGGCGGAAGAGAAAGACGCGGAGGTCACCTTCCTCCACACAGACACACCAGAAATACATCTACACGTGGAACAGCTCCTACAGGACACCCACTGACGCTGGCAGAAGACCTCAGACCTCCCAAAAGGCAAGAAACCCCCCACGTACCTGGGTAGGGCAAAAGAAAAAAGAAACAACAGAGACAAAAGAATAGGGACGGGACCTGCAACAGTGGGAGGGAGCTGTGAAGGAGGAAAGGTTTCCACACACTAGGAGCCCCTTCGTGGGCGGAGCCTGCGGGTGGCGGCAGGGGCGGGGGGAGCTTCGGGGCCGCGGAGGAGAGCGCAGCAACGGGTGCGGAGGGCAGAGCGGGGAGATTCCCGCACAGAGGATCAGGGCCGACCGGCGCTCACCAGCCCGAGAGGCTTCTCTGCTCACCCGCCGGGGCGGGCGGGGCTGGGAGCTGAGGCTCGGCTCCGGTCGGAGCGCAGGGAGAGGACTGGGTTGGCAGCGTGAACACAGCCTGCAGGTGGTTAGTGCACCACGGCTAGCCGGAGGGAGTCCAGGGAAAAGTCTGGAGCTGCCGAAGAGGTAAGAGACTTTTTCTTCCCTCTTTGTTTCCTGATGTGCAAGAAGA